TGTTTTTTTAATGTAACTACACAGCTTTGTGCAAATAAATGATTTTCACTTATGTTACTGGAAAACAAAATCAAATTCCATAGTATATTCCCGAGAAAACAGAAAGTATATATAAACATATATATATATATATATATATATATATATATTTCAGTAGCGAATAGAGGAATAAGTGCAACTTATTTGATTTCAAGATGTGTTGTGTTCCGTAAAAAAGTAAAAATGTTTCTACTACTTTGTATCAAATTGAATATTACATTAAAGGGCATTCCCTCATGAGTAGTGGAATGGAGTGAATTGGAACTTTAAAATACAAATTTTACTAGAGAAAAGTGAAAAGTTGCCTCTGACCATTTTTCACTAATATTCAGTATATTAGTGTAATATGAGCTGGCAGTTCTTTTTTATTTTCTCCATTCTTTCTCTAAATGAAATAATGTAATTTTTTTCATTGAGATGTCTTGATTGTTAACCATTAATACCAATAGAAATTGTCCTACAAAAAAAAGTAATTAGAAAGCTCAATGACAATAAATATATAATAGTCATTTTCATGTTTAAAACACGGAATAGGTAAAAGAAAACCTAGGAATACTCTGATACCTAAGAAAACTGGTGCCAATCTGTAAGGAAATAAAAGTTCAAAAGCTCGCCTTCAAACCCAGATGTCCATGCTAAAGAAAATCTTGAGACAAAACCAAGAAATTGGCAGCATTAAGAATAAAGAATAAAGCCCAAGTTGTCGTCTTGATAATTTCTTCATAAACATTCAGTGATGGTGTCACTTATTATGAATGGGTAAAATTCATGACATAATTAGCAATTGAAAAGGAATGACATAAGCCCAATTAAATATTTATTTTTTATAGTGCAATATTACGTTGATTTTTATTGTTAAGGCAAGCTGGCTCAATTCCTAAAGAATTCAGGAAACGGTTCTCAAACAATTTGAATTTAGATCCAGAATACATTGCCTTGATGAAAGATCTGACTTTTAGATTGAGATGATGAAATACCAACCAAGAAAAAAAAGAAGAGGAGTGAAGAACCCGAGGAGAAAAAATAAATATTACTGTTATCATTTATCCATCTTTTAGAAGCACTTTTTATATACGTTCTCAAATTTTCAATTGTATAATTTTAACACTTAGCCCCCTATTCACATCTGCCATATATATATATATATATATATATATATATATATATATATGTTGTGGAATCTAATCTTTAAAAAACTTAATAATATAAAAACACATAAAATAGTATTTATAAATCACAAGTGTTTAAAACAAATAAACATGACAATAGTGAAGTTGTAAAAATAAAATTTAAATATAATGAAAATAAAATCAAATGATGTTCATTATAAACGAAATACATCTTTTATTGTAATGATTGTATTGTGATTATTCAATATTTCATATTAAGTGTTATCTTTTATAGTTTAACATGAAATGTATAACATCATTTATATAATAAGATATTGAGTATTAAGTTTGAAATTCATAAATTTCTAATAGAGTGCTGGGTAGTTTCTTATCAAGTGATTTCATGTTATTATTTTCTGTTATCAAATTTACTAAATGTATTTTATTTATTAATACAGTTGTAACTATCATAAATAAATAAAAAAACAATAAAAAAAATTCTAATTTAAAATAATCCCATTTTGTAATTGATAATCCTAGATCCATTTCATTCAACATATGATTAATTATAAAAAAGAGAGGAAATACTATTAATTTAAAAATTTAAACTGAACTAATTGAATCTATTGATATAATGGAATTCATTACGAAATATAATAAGTATTTGAGACAAAAGAAAACTTTTCACCATCTTCATATGAATGGTTTTGTAATATTCATAATTATAAACAACGGATATATTATATTTCTTAGCAGCCATTATTCCCAACATTACTTTCATTAAAAAAAAACAACTAAATAAATAAATATAAATTACTTACTGGTACATGTTTAAAATATTCTTAATTGCAAGATAAAGAAAATAACTTTTGAAATATTTATCACAAATAATGAAATCTATAACAATTTTTTTCATTAAAAATGATTTTAAAGAAAATGAGAGGTTATGGTTACACACCCGATGAATTTTTTAAAATATTTTTGAACATTTGTGGAAAACAAATTTTAATAAACAAAAAAGTTATAACCTTACAATTTCTTGTAAACTAGAGTAACAGATTCACAAAAAAATAAAGTCACTACATTCAACTATACCTCTTTCTAAAACTATTATTACACAATTACTTAAACTTTTGCTATAACTGTATTCGAAAACATACAAATATTATGTATTATATTAATCAATGTATAAAAATTCCCATGAAAAACATTTTCCTCAAATTTATTGATCTAAATGGTCCTTTAAGTATAAAGAAATAAAAATGATCTTATAAGTACTGATTAAGTATTTAGAATAATTTGATTTTGTAAATTTGAGCCATGATAAGCGCTAATTCAACTTCAAAGATCACGAAAATGTTTAGTTAAAACACTGTATTATTATATCATAAAAAAAAAGGTATATTGGTTCTTTGAACATCACATACATAAACTATCCAAATATAAATAAGTCATTTACAACTTTTAACGGATTTTAAAAATATAAGTAAAAATATTTTTGTGATAGAGGAAAACATGATAATATTCAAGTTGGAATATTATACCTTTACTATTTCTAATAACATAAAAAAAGTTATTTTGTTAATAATTAAGAAAAAGAGGAAGAAACTAAATGAAAACACAACTATGGTAATAAGATGTCAATCGATTTTTTTTGTTTTGAAGTTTGGAAAAATACAATAGTTTAAAAACAAACATCTAACAGTTTTCTAAAGAATTAAATATCTCTTCACCACACATAGATGTAAGTAGTAAATGATATTTTTAAATTAAGAAAGATTTATTATTTATGTAGCCTCTTGGTCAGTGTAAGATACATAAGTTAGCTCTTATTGTATACTGGATTATCAAAACGTTATATAAATATTCAATTGTTCAGAATGCTTCTCCAAAAAAAGTCATAATTTTATTATCTAAAGAACTTGTATTTGAAATCTAACAATATAAGGCATGAAGAGTGTTTAAAAAAAAAAAAAAAAAATACACAGTTAAGTTCTCAAACTTTATACACTAACATTAGATTATTTTAAATTAATTCCCATGAAAATAATAATAACGAAAAAAAACAACAAATTTTTATACTGTTATTGTAAACAAAACAATTAATTTGTAAATGATATTAACGCAATCAAAAGATTTTAAACCTGAATTAAGTGCACAATCCATGCAGTCCATAACGAGAAGAAATATTAAGGTAGAAATTTTTTGGTAAGAGTAAGGTAAACAATAAAAATGAATAAAATGGTTTTACACAAGTGAATACTTTCTCTCAAGAAACAGGATGATAATTAAAAGGAATTAATTAGATATTACCAACCACAAAATAAAAAATGAGAGATTCAACCAATATATACTCTTTAATAAAAATAAAAAAAACTTACATCCAAGACTAAATTACTAGTTAAAGTTTTTGTTACATTATGAAGAAATACTAGGAGAGAAATGTGAACGAAAACAGTTTAACACTTTAGAGCCGTATGTGTATATATATATTTTTTTTAATAATATGTAATCATTGATGCTTCATTTTATATTTTTCTCTCGAAATATACGTGTATATATGTGTGTATATATATATAACTATATGTGTATACACACAGAATGGTACTGAACTACTGCAGATTAGAAAGAAATTTACGTTTCACTTTTATTTCAAGAGATAAATATAAAATGGAGCATCAATACTTACATATTATTAAAAATATGAACTTCAAACCAAAATAAATTAAAATTACAAAGGATTTAAAAACTAAGCATTGCTAATACATAATGCATAATTGAAAGGATAGGAAAATAAACATAAAGACATTGAAAAGATAAAAACCATTTTTTGAAAAAAGAATCACAAAAATTCAACAATTTTTTTTCATTTGGTTATAAATGCATTTCAAAATCCATTCACACAAACAAAAATGTATGAACATCGATATTTTGTAAATTGATAAATCTGTAGACATGCTCACAGGCCATTTCCAATGAGCAATCATTATTAATAAGATTTGAAAATAAAAATAATAAGCATAAATCTTTAAAAATTAATATCAATAAAATATTTACTGAATTTTCTGTTCAATCAGGAATTTAAGTAAATACAGTTGATTTCTATATATCAAGGGTAAAGGTTCTTTGAAGAAAATTTTATATATAGAAATTTTGATGTATGCAAAGCCTATAAGTTTTCATCTTTGTCATACTTAAAACAATTTTAGTTACTTATTAGGTTTGATGAAGTACTAAAAGTCATTTTTTAATGTGCTACACATTAATATCACTGCTTCATTGATTTTTTCAAAAATGATTTAAATCTTTTCAATCTCCTCTAATACTTTCGATATTTTAATATCACCAAATTATGGTTTTGTGCACAGTGGAACCTGTTTTTTTTTCTTACTTAATTATTACCTACTTTTATAAATGTCAACAAAGGGCCTTTTGTTGACAAATACAGTAAATATTTTTGTTAGGGTAAATATAATTTTAGTTACTAATCAGGATAATTTTTTCTAATAAAAATTCAATGTTTTTTAAAAACATTTCAATAAATAGATTTTTGATATTTGGAAGTTCAATATACAGAGGTTTGACTGTATATTACAACTGTACAGATGAATGTACAAGCTAAAAGCAAACCCTTTGTTGATACTCCTTTCATTTTTTACCAGGAAAATAATGTTCTATCTAAAAAAGATGAATTTAAGTAAAACAATTTCAAAACTCATTTTTTTTTAAAAACAAAGAGTAGAATTATCAGCAAAGGAGACAACAAAGGAAAAAAAAACAACAAGTAAAATTAAAAATACATGATTTTTAAAAATTTGTTTAAGCTATAGTTAAAACAGAATCCAAATGGTTATCATTTAATGTGAAACTAAAATTTAAAAATTCTAAATGTTATGTCATGTTTATTGATGTACTGGAAATTTGTGGTAGTTTACTAGGAACATTGGTATGGCGTGAATGTATTGTACTTGCCCTATCATCAGATAATTGAACTCTAAATTTATTAGTAGCTCCTAAGGTGTTAGTGTTAGCATTGGTGGAAGGATTACTTGAACAAGTAGGTGTCCTAACACCCACAGAATGAGAATCAGGTGTTGGTAATCTTGGAAGGCGACGACGAAGCCAGCCATGTCGCAGTGCTGAAGCTGGAGTCATTCTTGTCTCAGGATCCCAGTCCAAACAGCGCCTAACAAAATCTATAAAAAGTGGATCATCACAGCCTTTCAGCGCTTGCCTGAGTTGAACTGAGCCTGGTGGACCACGGTGTTTACCTCTCCTAGATATACCACCTGTTAACATTACACTTCCATCTGGCAGGGTAATTGTTTTACAATATCGTGGATAACCTTTAGAACTTATAAAGTTTTTAGCTCTTTTTGATGATTCCAGTAGTTTTCTTGGAGGCATTCCTAATAATTCTATAATACAAGCAAGTTGGTCTGCTTCATCTTCTCCAGGTAGCAAGGGGAATCCAGTAAGAAGTTCAGCTAGTATACAACCTAAACTCCACATATCAATAGGCATGCCATAACGTGCTCCAAGAATAACTTCAGGGGCTCGATAAAATCTTGATTGGATATATGTGTAGACTCGCTGATTTGCATAACAGCTGGAGCCAAAATCTATAACCTGCAACAAGAAAAAAATATATTTTTTTCTTCTTTAAGACAGCTATTATTAACATTAAAACTAATTTTGATAAGTTGGTTAACTTATCAAATTAAAGTCTGATAAAAGATAAATATAATTATATCTAAATTTTCCTACCATAAAATCATCCTCTCTATACAAAATTGTAACTAAAACTTAAAGTAGTTAGCCATTAACTTAACTTAGCAGGTTCCACAAGACTTTTTTGGTCTCAGATACCATATAAAAGTCAAGAAGGCAAATGGTTAGATAGAAGATATACATAAATCACAGCACTACGTACAACATATCAACAAAAAATGGTATAAGTATAAAAATATGGTGCGCCCATCACACTTACTTTCACTTACTACTCGCTTCTTAGCAAAAATAAGTATTTTCAGACAAAGGGGAAGTGGAAGTAAAAATCATAGACGCTATATTAAGTACCCTTATATAAACAAATTTTAATTTTTATATCGATGTAATCAATGCAATTAAATATTAAATAGTACCAATGATAGCATTTATAAAAACCGCATATGTATAAGTAAATAATATTGTCGGAGTCTTATATATTATATTAAGCTCATGTTACTATGGAGGCCTGTTCTAATCTTTCGGGCGAACTCGAGCCAGCTCATATTTCTTTAGTAGATTAATGTGAAATGTTTAATTATTTCAAATAAAAAAAATTAAAAGTACATTAGAGGTAGCCAATATTGAAAATTAGCCATTTAAACTCTGTTAGAAAACATCAATGAGAATAAAATCTAAATTATATTAAAAAATGATAACAAATTTTACGATATAATGAATTTAATCAAAATCGTTAGAACCGTTTCCGAGAAAGTCATAAGAATGTGTTAAGTGGATGATATAAAGTGCCACTTCCAGTTAGCCGATTTTGACGAAAAAGTTGCTGTAACATCCCAGTTTTTGAGCTAGACTGTTAAAACATACACACCGCTGATAGGCCGGCCTGCATAGGAATCGAAGAAATGGTATAGAACGTGGTTTTCATGCAACCGCTTCGACGTGGAAAGAAAAGAATTGGAGAATGTGTATGCAGTGAATATCACTATCTAGAATCTGGTGACGCTTATGTTGCGAAAGGACAAACATTGGGCATCTATGAAAAAATTCGCCACAGTTGTTCTGAAGAAGTTTAAGAAGTTGAAAGGATCAGGACAGGTTTTTAGCCAGAAAATAAATAATGTCCCACGGCGATTAAATGGACATAATACAATGAGACGGCACATTGCCATTCCGCTTCATGAAGTAATGCCTAAAGGCGGTTCCGTGGAGGGGAATGAACAGGTAAAGGGAGGTTGGTTGTAGTAGGTAAGAATCCCACACGCGAATAGATCGGGCCTGATTTGAAGATTTGCACCTGCCTATGTTTAAAAAAAATCAATCAATAAAAATATAATCTGGTGCGCGCATCACATGACTTTCACTTACCACCCTCTTCTTAGTAGAAATAAGTATTTTCGGACAAAGCGGAAATGAAAGTATAAATTATAGACGCTATATTTATTTACATTTCATTGTGGGTATTGCTATTTGTTTAAATGCCCTTATATATACAAATTTTGATTTTTATATTGCTGTACGAGAATTAAATATTAAATAATACCAACGATAGAATTTATGAAAACAGCATATGTATATATACATAACATTGTCGGAGTCCGTATTATATTGAGCTTATATTACGTATGGAAGCCTGTTATAATCTTTCGGGTGGGCTCGGGCGTGCTCGTATTCCTTGAGTACCTCCATTACAACTATTATCCGTTACGGTCTCTTGTTTCACTTTTAGTTAATTATCAAATTCATTCATATTTTATATTTAACTATTTTTTATATTAAAGATTAATAGATTAATGTGAAATGGTTAATTATTTCAAATAAAAAAAATAGAGGTATCCCACCATTCTGTGGGACTTGATTACATATATAGGTAAGTAAAAGTAAAAAATCATACACAGAGACCATTTTCTGGGACTTGGTTATTTGGACTCAGGGGACCTCAAAAAGTATATTTCCTTTAAAAACTCAGTTTTGAAAATTTTCACCATCGCAATACTTACCCTTACTATATATTACATATATAGGTAAGTGAAAGTAAAAAATCATACACACATACCATTTTCTGGGACTTGGTTATTTGGACTAAGGGGATCTCAAAAAGCATATTTCCGTTGAAAACTCAGTTTTGAAAATTTTCACCATCGCAATACTTACCCTTACTATATATTACATATACAGGTAAGTGAAAGTAAAAAATCATACACACAGGCCATTTTCTGGGACCTGGTTATTTGGAACTCAGGGGATTTCCAGTCATTTGGCACCTCAAAATGTGCATTTCCGTTGAAAGCTCAGATTCGAAAATTTTCACCATCGCAATACTTACCCTTACTATATATTACATATATAGGTAAGTGAAGGAAAAAATCATACACACAGACCATTTTCTGGGACTAGGTTATTTGGACTCAGGGGACCTCAAAAAGTATATTTCCGTTGAAAACTCAGTTATGAAAATTTTCACCATCGTAATACTTACCCTTACTATATATCACATATATAGGTAAGTGAAGGAAAAAATTGAATTAAACAAAATTGATGATTTTTGCAAGTTTTTAGGTGTTAATTACATTATTTTACATATTTTGGGTTTTTACTAGAGGAAGATCCGGTCTCTAGCTGTGATAAAGTTAATTTGACCTGGAAATTAATCAGCACCCTCGAAAGAAGCATTGAAATATGTGAGAGAATAATCCTGAGAACAATAACCGGAGCGATGTCGTATACACAGTAAGCATGGAGGAGAAAGACCAATAAAGAACTGCTGACAGAACCTGGTCAATTAATATCTCATGATATGGAAGAAAGAATGTTAAGATGGGTGGAGCATGCAGCTCGGAGCAATCCATCAGGAAGCCTCTACACAACAATGAATACCTCAATAGTAGGTAAGAGAGCACACGGAAGCCCAACAACCAGATGGATAGATCGAATCAACAAAGATGCGATTTCTACATCAAAATCAACCACATATAGTGCCAGTAAGCGAAACCCGTTTACCTCCTCAGAAGAGATTCTCGGCCCCTGGCTACACTGTTTACCGAAAGGAGAGGAACAGAGCAGGCGGGGGGGGGGGGAGGCGGTTATGATAATGTTGCGTTCAGACCTACCGCACGTTTACAGGCCGATTGATAATTTAAAATACGCGGAAGCGTCTACAATTCAATTTAAGGTCAAAAACAAGATTATTAACACAGTTTATATCCCTCTAAATAAAATAAATATAGATGATCTTAGAGTTATATTTAATATCGGTAAACACACACTAATTTTCAGGAACTTAAATGCCAAAAATTTAAAATGGAACTGCCATATACGAATATTATTTTTTTATTTATTAACTAAACAAAAATGTGGAACATTAGATTAAATTTGCAATCTGCAAATTTCTTTGCAACAAACAAATTTTTTGGCAGCTTCACAGCTACCCATCACGTCCGGGATATAAATCAGATCAGCAGGTCTCTTGGCCAACGCCTACGTAATCGTCGTAGTGGGCTGTACGGGTTTCTTGTACAATGAAGGATTTCTGTCGGGGGATTCATGTTGTACGTCAGTCTTTGGTGAAAGTTATTGTAGTTCTCTTTTGCAGTATCTTAAATTGTAGGTACGTTTAAGTCTTTATGTAGTGTATCATTTGCGACATTAAAAGGTGCGTCAACTATCCTTCGCAACACTTTTGACTGAAAGGACTGAACTTTTTTAATGATGGAAGTTTTAGCAGAGCCCCACAGTTCTATGCCGTAAGTCCAAATAGGTTTAAGTAAGACTTTATAAAGGGTTAGTTTGTTAGTTGAAGATAATTTTGAACGTTTGTCAAGTAATCTGGATAAGAGACCGTATCGTCTGTTTAATTCTATTTGTTTTTGTCTGATGTGAGTCCTCCAAGTAAGTCTTTTGTCCAGGTAAAAACCTAAATACCTAATTACATCTGAAGTTGGGATTTGAATGTTATTAAAATATACTTCAGGGAAAGGTTTATGGTTAAGAGTGAATACTACATGCACACTTTTTTTTCATTCATCTTAATTTTCCACCTTGTTGCCCAATCTGCAATATCGTTCAGATGATTTTGAAGGATGGTAGATGCTCGAACAGGGTTTTTATCTGAGCTTAGGATTACGGTATCATCTGCAAAAGTAGCCATTATTGTGTCGTTGTGTTCCGGTAGATCAGACATATATATATTATACAATATTGGTCCAAGGACACAAGCCTGAGGCACTCCTGCTTTAATAGGTTTGATGTCAGAACGTTCTCCCTACTTTTACTACAAAATGTCTATCCGTTAGATATGGAAGTAATATTAGATAGTAGGTCGAACGGGCGCTTTTTATGAAAATGATATCGAATTTGAGATTGGGCACCCCGGTCCTCGATTTTTTTTAACTTTCGGATTAAATCGATATCAGGGTCGACTTATATGTTTTGGGGGACGCTTTTTATGAAAATGATATCCAATTTGAGATAGGGGCCCCGGGCCTCGACTTTTTTTAACTTTTCGGATTAAATCGATATCAGGGTCGACTCTTATGTTTTGGGGGGAGCTTTTTTTGAAAATGCAGTCGAATTTGAGATTGCAACCCCCGGGTCTCGAATTTTTGTAACTTTTCGGATTAAATCGATATCAGGGTAGACTCCTATGTTTTGGGGGGCGCTGTTTATAAAAGAGTCGACCCTGATATCGATTTAACCCAAAAAGTTACAAAAAGTTGAGGCCCGGGAGGCCCAATCTCAAATTCGTTATCATTTTCATGAAAAGCGCCCCTCCCCCTAATCATAATAGTCGACCCTGATATCGATTTAATCCGAACAGTTAAAAAAATTCGAGGCCCGGGGGGCACAATCTCAAATTGGATATCATTTTCACAAAAAGCGCCCCCCCCCCTCCAAATCATAATAGT